GAGAGAGAGGCTGACTTGAATATTAGTCTGGTATCACATGGCAAGATTGTGATACTGTAGGACATCAGTGAAGTGCTACTTAGTAAATCTTAACCTATCTCTTTTTTCTACAGGTTGGTACTAAGAAGTGCCTTTCCTGACGTCTCTGCTGCTTGGAACCGCTTCTAGAGCAGTCTCTGCTTTTGCCTTGCTTGCTGCCAGCTAGACTGTGACGACAGCACATCCACCCTCCACCTCTAGCCCAGACACCCCCATTTCTACTTAGAATCAAGAGAAAAGCTCTAAGTATCTGGCATTGCCCTAGGCTGCTTTAGTGTTAAAAGAAAAGTTTGCTGAAAAAGTAAGATATCTTCTGCCAGGAAATCAAGGAGGAAAAAAAAATCATTTTCTCGATTTTGCTCTAAACTGCTGCATCTGTCTATGCCAAACTAATCAATACCGATTGCACCACCAAACTCCATTGCAAATTCAGCTGTGAGGAGATTTCCTTTCAGACAACTTTGCTGAAAGCAGCTTGGAAATTCAGTGTCAAAGGGTCTGCCACGTTTTCATGCTTGCATTTTGGGCTCCAAATTGGCACTGGGAAGGGGTTACAGAGAGCACAAGGCTGATTCCGGGCCCTACTTTTAAACGTTCATCTACTCACAATCCTAGTATTTCTCTAAAAACCAAAACCTCTTTGAATTAACAGTTTCATGCTGTGAATTTCTAGTGGGAGATCTTTTCCTTGATATTGACAACACAATTTTCCATGTACTTTTAAAGCAGGGAGTGGGGAAAAAGTATTTTGGAGGGGACATTTTCATCATCATTTTACAGTTTTATCAGTTCAGTTTTTTTTTTTTTTTTTTTTGGTTGTTGTTACTCTTTTTTGGGAGGGCTGGGTTTGTTGGTTTCACTGAAAAATTTAACTACCTGTAAAATCTAAACATGGCTGTTAGTGTCACACCAATTCGGGACACAAAATGGCTAACACTGGAAGTATGTAGAGAGTTCCAGAGGGGGACTTGCTCACGGCCAGACACGGAATGTAAATTTGCACATCCTTCGAAAAGCTGCCAAGTTGAAAATGGACGAGTAATCGCCTGCTTTGATTCATTGAAAGTGAGTAACTGTTATGTTCTTTTAAGGATATGCAATAATTGAATAAAGGGGAGATGGGCATACAGTCCTCTGAGTCTGGAATTATCAATTGCTTTGCTCCCAGTTTAGTTATAGAGTGTGTTCTTATTGATGATGTTGGGCTGGGGAACTTTAGAGAAGCAATGGAGCCAAGTCTGGCCAAACTTTGTTTTTTATGCATGACTTTATAATTCCTGTAATTCCAGGATTGTTTTTGCTAGAGCAGAAAGTATTGATGAACTTTTTACTTAGTAATAGCAAAGTCTGTCTGTCTCTGGAAATGGTAAATATGGGTACGTGTGTGTTTAGAATGTGCGTATATTATATATAAGGCCATAACAATGACTGAATGAAGATGATTTTTGTTGGTTGGTGAAGGTGCTGTACCATTGTAAAATAGCAGCAGATTTTAAATCAGCTGCACTTGGGTAGACTTTTTTACGACTTTCAAGTTTTGACATTTGGGGTTTTCCTTTATTATGTGGACGTATTATTTTAATCCAGCCCCATGCATTTTGTGGAAAACAGAACTAGAAGTAATGTTCTGAACTGCTGCTGCATTACTTGCCTGAGGCACAAACTTTGTTGAATGTGAGTTTTATAAATAAGTGAAAACTTTTAAGCACTATTAAGGATTTTTTTCAGCTTCAAAAATTCGAATGTGACTCAACTTAGCAGTTTACTTTCTGTTAGATCCTGATTACTTTTTATTTGTAATAGTCTCACCCAGAAATGTTAAAAGTTAGCTTTTGTGGGCACCGTAATACTAAAAGATTTACTTTAGTATTTCTTGACATTCAAAAATGTCATGGATTTGTAACTCAGATATCAAGTTTGAAAATGGGTCTTTAAAAAGATAGCATACATGTCTTTATTTTGACTTGCAAAGTCAAGACTAGAAATGTGTTCCCAGATATTCTCAACCTATTTGATTTAATTAATTTGCTTTTGCGTACTAATGCCCAGTTTAATTCTCAGAACCTTTGAGGGGGAGATCATGGTTACTTCTACAAATTTCTCGTAGATAGATCCATCTTGTTTTTTTTTATTATTATTATTTTTAATAGTACTATAATAATGCTTTTAGAAACAACATCAGGATGACTTATGAGTTAACTGTTAATTGCTTTTTGGTCCGGTTTGGGCTGCTTACTTTGCTACCTTTGCCAAAGATTCCAGGGATGTCGTCTTTAGAGTTGGATTAAAAAGAAGTCATTAACAACAACTTTAAACGTGAAATTCTTATTAATATCTTAGTCCTAAAGACCAGTAAGCAGAAGTTATAAACTACCATTGGACCTTTTTTCACCCTTTGCTTTGGAAGGCATCGATGAAGGGCAGAGTGGTTGTACCTTTGTGTGTGTGTCCCTAACTTCATGCTGACTGAATTCAGGTATAATTAGAGACTGAGACCCATAAAATGAGGGGCAAAGAGCTAATTACTCTTGTCGGTAACCAGCTGTGTCCATAAGTAACCCTGTTTTGACCCAATTAATAGTAAATCCAATTTTTAATCCTACAGACAGTTGATGGTGCACTCGTAGCTGCAAAATGAAGGACATTAAATTTGGCTGTGACATTGAGTGGTTTCACTGAAGACCTGCCTCTACAGCATTTGGAAACATTGTGAAACATTAATCTTCAGTTGCTATTTTTCCATCCCCCCATTTTTTTTTAGTTGCTGCTCACTTGTGGCCACAGAACAGCCCCTTTTTGAGTAAAGCAGCAACATTGCTTAATGACATGCTGTGTGGTTAACAAGACTCAATTGCCACATCAAGGACTTTTTTAACTAACAAATAATTTCAAGATTTTAAATTTATTTATGAAATGAACTTATTATAGCAGCTAATCAATGCAAACTTTGTCCTTTTTCTTTGTCTTGCTAAGAGAAACAATTTAATTTAAATTTAAAATAGAAGTATCTAAAACTTGGTAACACATTTTAGATTTCAATAAGAGGAAAAAAATACAAATTTATGTATGGTGAAGCTTCATACCAAGGGCAATAGCTCCTTAAGTGTTAGTGAAATAACTATGTTAAGAATTAATTAAAATACATTTCAGTATAAAATTAAGTACTTATGTTTAAAAACCATGTTTCTTGTGTGTGTGTGTGTGGGTGTGTGTGTGTGTGTGTGTGTATAAAATATTTAAAACTGACACATGTGATTCTTAATACAGTATTCAGAATCATTCCTTTTAGATAGCAGTATTCCTGTATTCAATTTTGTGGCTAAAATAGATCAAGAACATATTTAAAAACTGTTAAAGTAACTGTATGACTCATGCTTGAAGTTCTGAAATTTGGGAGCATTATGAGGTTTCTATGCCAGTAACCGCTACATCGTTTGCATTGTCTCAGAGAATCAACGGAAAAAAATTAGAAAACTCATAATATCCTCACTTCTTTAATAAAATGTGCTCTGTGTATCGCTTAAATCCATAGTCCAGCCCTTTCTGAGTTCTCAAGCCATGAGATGGAGGTAGCCTGTGTAATCTACTATTTTTAGAAAGTTAGGAAAGCAAACCAAATACTCTCTGAGAGGACCCTGTGAAATGGCTGTACCCTTCAGCTGTGCTGTTTCAGACTTTGGCCTGGCTCCCAGGTGACTTACGTTTATAGCAGACTTCTAGTTAGAAGGGGAGAATTTGTTTCATTAAAAAAACAGAAGTCAAACAGTTCAAGATGGTATTTATTCATGTAAAAGAAATTTACTGGCATATTATTAAATATAATGGGAAGGTAATTAGCTGATAGTATTTTAGTTGCTTATTGGTGATTTTCAGGTTTAAATAATTAACTTAGATTAACTATCCCACATGAAACTGTAGAGTTCTGGATCACAATAAATGTGTTGCTAAGTAAAATAGAAATACAGGATAATGAGTATCTGTATGTATTAAGAATGCCAGTTTAGGATAACAAAAAAAGAGTAAAAGCTGAAGTAATGTGTGCTAATATACAAATTAAGCCATATTTTAAGCACTTAATTTTGCTTTTACAATTGCAGTTTTAATTTGTAATAGTTTATGAGTATCTTCAATCCAAGACTTAAATTGCCTTCAAATTTTTGTGGTATTAGCTACTTTAGAAATTGAGAACGTTTGAAAAAGTGCATTATTTTATACTGAAGATGATTTTTTTTCTATGAAAGGGATACCAAAAAAGAAAAAAAAGAAAAGAAGCATATCAACACAGCAACTCCATTAGAATGACATTACAATTTCAAATTGGTGTTTCAAGTAATAGTTGAGAACAACTTACCTATTTTTTTCTGTCATGAGCTCTCAACTAAAGTTTAGATAGGCAGTATCAAGAAAGTCTACAGAATATACTTTAATGTATGTCTAGTTATTTATATTCTCAAAAAATAGCCTTTCACCCTGTGGTCAACAGACGAACTTATTGCTTACTGAATTCTTTTTCAAATATCCATTCATTTTTCAGGTACTGGGGGTGGGAGAGGGAGGAATATAACCTTTGTGTTTACTATTTATTCTTTAAAAATCTAGCAAAACTCTCACCTTTGAAAACTTTGGCCACTTATTCTCATCAAATTAATTTTGCATAAGATAATTGAAAACTTTCATTTCACTATATAATGCTATCTATCTATGTATCTATACATATATAAATAGCACCACTTATCAGATTTATCACAGACACATCAGAGATCAGATTGCACTGCAAAGTGACATGGAAGCAAGGGCACTGAGTGAACAGTGTTATTGTGCCTTGCAGACTTAGCAGAATATATGAAGTATAGAAATCAAGTATTAGAGGGCACATAAATATGCATACAACAGGCAAATGAGCAACTAAAAAACCCAAAATCAGGAAGGCATATCAAGTCTTCAGATGGTCACATATATATTGGGTGTACAATGAGACATTATGAAATTGTCCCAAAAGGGTTTACAGTTAAATTTTAGCAGCTCTTCCCAGAAATTGCCTGTGTTGTTACTGTTCTAAGCTCCAGCATAGACTTTCATCATATTTTTAAAACCAGTTTAACTGATAATCCTGACAAAAGTTCATACTGTATTCCCTAAGCAAAAACTTCACACTTTGTAAAGAATACCCTATGACGATGCTGCAGTGTCATCAACTTGAAAATGACCCATTCTTTGATAAAATTCTCAGTAGCTGCAACTGCTTTGGTAAAACTAACTGTATTCATTGCCTGTTTATATTCTTATAGTTAGAATTTTTTATAAAACCATTTTTTAAATAAGTAAAGATTTTTTAGACTTTAGAAAAACACTTCAAGCCATGTTTGGAATCAAGCTACCCACAGCACTAATTCTAGAACTAGTTTCTTTGTTTCATGTTATAATATTGTAGTACACTGCTTTTACTTTTCTTTTTCTCATTAAATCTTCCTTTGCTGTATGAGTGTGACAAACTAAAAGCAATAAACCTAAAGCAATGTGGCACTTACAATTGAATTCAAAGTTTAGTTGTAACTCAGATATCTGAAGCTCAAAATTCTGATTCCATTGATATCAGCCAAGAAATGATACCATGTACAAGGCTGTTACTGACTTACCAGAGATAGTATAGTGTGAGGTAAATTCTCTTTTGTGTGGCATACGCCCAGTTCACGCAAGAGACGAGAACTTGGCTATTTCGCAGACCCAGAACAGACACCTAGGGACCTAGTTTGGGAAGCTTATCCTGTCTTTTTCCTTGCCAAGAATAAGTAGAGGATTTTAGCTATCAACATCACTAATCTGTTACCTTTCCTACTGAGCAATGTCTCTGCCTTCCCACAGACTTAGACAAAGCTACTTCCTTTCTACAAAGAGATCCTATTGAAGAAATTTTGAAGTTTCCTCCCTTCCTTCCTTCCTTCCTTCCTTCCTTCCTTCCTTCCTTCCTTCCTTCCTTCCTTCCACTTTATCAGACACATTCTTTGCTTTTAGATAGAAGAACAACTTTCTCTTTTAACAGCACAAAAATTATGACTCTCAGTAGAAGTGGGTAACTAAATAGATGGCCTTTGATTTAGCACTGATAATGGTTAAGCATGCAGAAACTTAAGTAAAAGCAGTTGGAAAGTCTTGATAGAAATTCTTTTGGGGTGGGGACACAACATCAATAAGGTTACCTGATCTCAAACCAGGCAAAGTAGGGACCAAAGGGAGGCCCAAACTTTGCCTGTACAATGTCTACTTGTATACCTAGTCCTGAATTGTACCCCACATCTTTAAAATAAAGTATTAAAAGAATTCTTAGTTCTGAAGTACAATCGATTATTAGAATAATAATTTCTCTGTGAATTTAACTATAAACAAGATTAATTCTTGTGAGGACCAATTATCCTCATGCTCATTTATAGTACATTCAACTACAGACTTTTTATTTAATGCGATATTTCTTATAAAAAGTATTATCAACTGCACATCTACCTATAGCATCAGCCTCTACTATTTTGGCACATGTTTGAAAGATTTTTCCTTTGAGATAAAGTTTGAGTCTTTTTTTTTTTTTTTTTTTGCTAGTGATAAAACTTTTAAACCTATGAGTTTGCTTTTGGAAAATTATTGATAGTTTCGAAAATTAAATAATCCCTTATCCATTATAATGTGATTAGTAGGCTGTCTTCTGGATACCTGTAGGCCTTGGGCATCTCTAACTCTTTTCTTCTTCTTTTGTTTTCTCTGAGTTCTTTTCAGCTTTATAATTGTCCAGCTTCAGGATGATTGGTTCTGATCCCTCTTTATATTTTTCTCCAGGGTCATGCAGAAGTGATGTAAACATTTTGTTTGTAAAGAATTGGATTCAGCACCAAGTAACTGAGATACCTTTTTCCTCCCCAGCATTTGACATAAACACACGAGGGGTTTAATAGCTTAGTCAGGCCTCTTGAGTGACTCTTTACAGTCATTAGAACTCAGGTTCCTTCACTCTTAGTTTCTGAGGGGCACATGGCTTCCAAATTTAGGATTATCTCAGAATGTCAAGGTGTCCTTATTCCAGAAAGCAGGAAGAGGCAAGGGCAAAAGAGACTGTAACCTAGCCCAGTCAGTCTTCTTTTAGGAAAGGCCCTCTGAGCTTCGCCTGGTAATTTATCGATCTCTTACTCGCTGGTTTTGGTAGCAGGGATTGCTAGGAAGTGTTTTTATTTTTATTTTTTAACTTTTGTCTTGATTAAAGTCACACCTTTGGTAGGTAGTACAGACGGGGGAGGATGGATGTTCAGGAGGGCAGTTACTGGAATAGAAAAGTTAGAGATTCCCCCCCCCATAAAGCTTCCAGAATTAAGTAAATCTCCCTGAAAAGCATCTGAGTATAGCGCTAGTTAGGAGAGACCACTTCTGAAGAGAAACTTAAGTGTTCTCATCTTGAAAAACTTGTCACTTCTGCCTTGGTTATTTAGTTAGTAAAACCTGGCATATCACTAATGGATTTATTTTTATTTATATAGAAAAATAAAACAGCTTTGTTTTTTATTTCCCTATTGCAGTGCATATTTACATACACGGTTATGTATTTATAACTGAAATATAACAGAAATGCATTTCATAAAAGCAGGCCTCACATGATTTTATATGACAGAAGAGTGAGTCAGTAGTTACTCTGATTTCTGTTTCTGCTTCTTCCACAATATACTTTTGTATTTCCACTGTAAGGAGTAAAGTAATAAAATGAGTTAGTATTAATTGAAAACTACGGTAGGTTGGTTAGTGTTTTCAGCACTTTTTTATTTCTTCATGGTATTTAGCTCTTATAAAAACTCTTTGAGATAGTTATTGGTATTACTTCCATTTCACAGACGGGCACACTGAAAAACAGAAAAATTAGGTGATACACAAAAGGTCAGTTTACCAGTAACCTGATTTCACAGTCTGCATTTTAACTATTTTGCAGTAAAACATTCCTTCTTCATCTGCATATCCACATTCTAAGATTTGACAAAGAAAACATATTAACAGCAGTGCTTACGTATAAAAATGAACATCCAAGACAAATTTACAGCACAGGGCCTAACACAGCAAGTACTTAGAAATAATTATTGTATCTTAAGTCACCAAATGGTTCAAA